ACAGTAACATATTTTAATCTTTTAAACCAGCAATTGTCATAACTACGCAGCGGAGTCAAATATTCAACTTAAAAGAATATATAACCTTTGTCCAACTTAAATCAACTTTAAAACAACAAGTACTCAACGAACGACACCTTAAGGTTCAATCAACTGAAATAATAACAATAAAACAGCAATCGTTCATCCCCCCGAGTGTTACATATCAAAGCAATGACACCAACTTGAACTATTGAAGGTAAACTGCCTTTACTCTGGATTACCTGCACGTTACCAACATCGGGGTAACATTCAAACAGAACTAGTGAGATATCGAACAATATAATTGAATGTATAATAAGTATTACATTAGAATTAGTCTATGCAAAATCACCACTTCACAACTTTAAACAAAATCAATCACCACAAAACATCAACGGAACATAATAATTAATTCATCAACACGACAACCCGAATATGCAACATAGAATGCAACTTGTTACTATGCACATGCATGTGGTACCAATGGAGCAGAACTCCAAACTTAGAAATCTGTCAATAAATAGAGGCATCAACAAGGCATAAGCCTTCAACATAATATTTTGCCAATCCAGGACAACTTAACGAGCATCGACTCCAACTTGATATGCGATGTATGCGACAACATGATTAAATACAACATCAACAAAAACAACATAGCAACATTGGCATAAGCCTACAACTTAATAATAATTCAACACTAGCCATAGGCCTACAACTTGATATTTCAACAACAACAATTAACGCAACGTTGGCATAAGTCTACAATTCAATACCACCTGCAATTCATATTTTTCAGCAAAATATTCAACACACCGTATCGACTAAAATATACAACAATTGTTCCGTATAGTTATTCGGACAAATCGACTAAATCCTTCTAATTACTTATCGACTAAAAGTTATATTATTTCTACTTTATACTAATATTCCCTATTAATTTTATGATAATTTAATACTACACTGCTATTCAATTCTTCTATATATTAATATTCTATTATTTACTGCTACTAAAACAACTCTACTAATTTACCACTCTGCTAATTAATTTACTGATATAAGAATATTCTGCTAAATATATAGGTTATGTAACTTCTTTACTTTATGTTAAATATGTTCATGTACTGGTTGTACTAAATTAATTAATCAGCTCTAATGTCTTAATAGAAGTTCTTAAATTATATTACTAATTATTGGTTTCATTATATAATACTATCCTGCATGCCTACAGAAAACAAAACAAGACAACTAACTAAAACAATATAACAAAATTAAGCCTGTCACTTGAAATATGGTGTGCCACTTGGCACACCCCTCATAATTTAGTGTGTCCATCGGCACAAGGGTGTCCCCCTCAGCACACTTTTGTTTTCTGTGCCGTCCCACACAGTCTGTGTGCCCCTCGGCACGTCCAAACTTTCAGTTTTTCCTGCCACGCAGAATGTTCTGCAATCGATTCTTATACTCAATTTTTACCTTTGATTAACATCAAATAAAACAGTGCAACAATATCAGTGTTCACAAACAACTAATTTTATACAGATTCACAGCAAGAACACAACAATAATTCAACACAACATTTAACATTGTTTACACATACAACAAATTTCACACAACCCAATTCCCACGTAACATGCATCATATACCCAATTATATAGTCAGAACCCCACTCTTACCTTGGATTGAAGATCGCTCTACGATTTTCCGATCGAATCCCGCTTCGCCTCTTCTCCTTATTCCTCTTCTTTGCAACTTCTCCTTCTTCTATAACTCCTACGATCAACTTCCAATTCTTTATTTTAAATTAACATGATTTATATTATTACTAAACTTAATAATAATAGTCTATTTGGCTTAATTCTCACACCCCCTTAATACAACATACCACCAAAATTAGCCCAATCACTAATACCAATAATTTCAACATTTATTATTATTAATCAACTAATTAATTAATTAATAATAATCTAACAACTTATACCAACGATTCTCAATATTTCACAACTTCAACAAATAATCTAAAAATAATTTAATTAAATAATTAATTAAATCAACGGGCGTTACAGGTACCATATATGCTGTCAGGATTGTGCAAGTTGTGCAGCGGTGGTCACAGTTTCTGACGGAGGTTCAAGGCACTCTTTCGTCTCTGACAGCTTATTCTCTCAGGTAACATTTCTGTTATCTCTCTTTCTCGCCTTTCTCAGGTAATGTTCCCATGGTCTTTATAGACCGAGTTAAGGATTATTTTGTTAAAGCAACACACAATTGGATTTGAATCATTTTGTGTTGGCAATTAAGATTTTAAGGTACTGATTTGATACACAAATTATTGTATTTTAAAACAAAAGTATTGATTTTTAACACTTACTGTTTGAATCCATATAGTGTGCTTTTCGACAACAGTCCCGAAGATCCATATGCAGTTCCTTATGTTGTTGAAACCGTGAAGAATATTATCGGAAAGGTCCGTGTTTTAGGAAGTACAAGCTACAATATGTTGTTGGTGATGGTAAGTTGTTGTATCTATGGTAGATTATACTTTTTAGTTGTTTTTCACAGTTGATTAGCTTTTAGAATTGTTACAAATTAAATTTGAATGATGTCACATTGGACATGCTGATATTGATTGGTTTAAATTTTGGCAGAAAACACATGTGCTATAGTTCTTACCTGGCCAATATTTGCGGTAGGGTGAAAATCAGTTGCAGCTGGAATGGCCGCAATGGACTTTAGGCGAGGTATAATTATGGATGTTGATGTTGTTGTAACTATTGTTGTTTTGGGATTGTTGAAGATGAAGTCAGAGTCATTTGATTAGTGGAGGAGTTACTTTAGGTCTTCGAGTTCGGATATTTCGACATAACTGACCATGTGATTGTTGTTGCTGCTGTAGATGTTCGAGGAGTTTAATTTGAGGACTGCGATAAAGTTGAAACGTCGGTTTCCTAAGGTTTGAATTGAATCTTTCTTTGTTCATTTGGGGCAATGCGGTTCTTTTTAAGAATGTTATCTAATAATCAGAAATGATTTTTTCACTGAACTGAGATTGGAAAGGCTGTCAATCCTCTCCGAAAGTAAGCATCAAAGGATGTATGTGAACTTGCTCGGGTCGTCATCGAGTATGATCAGGGGAAGTACAATTCAGTCAAAAGAAATATGGAACCACCACTAATCTTTTGTATATTGGCATACATTTTGAAAGAATTTAATTAGCTCTTGGTATAAATATGCAGGAACTAGCTGAAGCAATATTTTTGGCAGTCATTGTTTTTCTCTGCCTTGAGTTTTCTTATTTAATTTTGACATCAATATTGAGTGCTTTACATGTGTATTCATTCTTTTTTACAAGTTAATTTCGTTCCAAATACATTTATAGGTGGCTGAGCTTTCTACAACGTCATTATCGGATCCTAATGTTTGAGGTAAGCTCTGAGGAGGATCAGAGATTGGAGAGGGTGAATCACAATGGACTAATTACCATGTGTATGCCTAATGACATCATGAACAAATTACCATTTGTATGCCTAATCACATCTTGAACAAATATTTTAAATCATCCTAACGCAGATGCAACTATCTCTCGCTTCTTTTTCTCCAAATATATCATAAATCATATCTTCCCATGTCAAAGGGAAATTTTCAAGTTGGACCAGGTACAATTGCAGAATCATTGATTAGAGGTCTTCCTATCATTCTTAACGACTATATCCCCAGACAGGTGAGTCATTCAACCGTTCTCTTTATTGTTATTCTGGTTTTTCATTCCATATTTACTATTGTGGTAACAACAAGAAAAAGGTAATGTGCCTTATGTGGTAAACAATGGAGTTGGTGTCTTACACGTAGTTCTAAGGAAACAATACAAATTGTAGTCAAATGTCAGAGAACGCACTTAAACTAGCGAATCCAAAACTGTTTTTTATGCATTTGTTACTCTTTTCTTTCTTTCTTCTTATAATAATATTCCGCTCTAAAATGGCCGTGTTGATTTAATTCTTGTATGGTTTTGTGTAGACATAGTAGCATCTGTTGTGCTGCCAGTGAATCGTAATTTTGAGGGTCAGGTGCATCCCTTAACCCGTCCTAACTATTTTGCCTCGCCTCCTTTCGTTGTGGCTTACGCACTTGCTGGAATGGTATGCAGGTCTAATTCATATTTAAAATGTGTATAATATACATTTGTGAAAGGTTTTTAATTTTGGTTTCTTCCATATTCTCATGTCTTATTTCTATCATTGTTTCAAAGATTGTTAATTCTAAGGAGTGAAGGTCTTGGTTAGACTAAACAAAACTGCAGTCATTATCTTATTTCATGGCTGCAGTCATTATCTTACCTTTGCACAATGGCTTCAAATCAAAGTGCAGCCTCCCAAAAAAGTAAACGTGAACATTCGCTAAGCGGTGGATGAATAACTGCACATCTCTAAGAGATTCGGTCCAATTTTTTATTTTCGGTACATTCCATTTTCTACTTTCTACTCTAATAAATTTACTAGCTATGTTATATTTTACTAATGCATGATGCATCTTTATCTGCCTGAATGTGATTTATGTGGACTCAGATTGCCTGACTTTAGCGCGCCAAAGGCATCATGACTTCCAATGTCTATGCATCGTTTGATTGATCCTGTGTATCATATGTGCTTTGTCCCTCTAAAGTTTCAGAATTCTGGTCCATTATGTTGTTTTGATAGGATACTGCTGCATAATGGTGTTATGTATCAGTATTTGAAACTGCTTAGTTAAAATGTAAACTAAACATTCATTTTAAGTGATTAAATAAACCTAAGCATTCTTCTACGCGTCTTTTTTGTGTATCTATCTATAGCAACTAAGAGGCTTTTGTACACAGTGGGATGCAAAGGAATCTGCATTAGATTCAGGAATTAGCTTTTAATCAAAAAAATACGATTGAAGCCAATGCTGAAACTGATACCTGCTTACTCCCCTATGATATTGGCCAGGGTTGGACAAACTCAATGCCAATGAGAATGGTAATCATTCCTCATGCTGTGATACTTTTGCTTGATAATCAAAGTATATTATATCTAATTACCAAAGAGAAGAGCTTTTAATATATATATAAGAAAAGAGCTTTTGTAATTAACACAGCTTTAGTGTGGTATAACCATTGTATATATCAATATATGGTATATGAAGTTAGATATCAATACTTTGAAATGAGGTCGTATAATTGATGCAATACTCTTAGTTTTCATATTATGACTGACGTTTGATTTATGTAGCTAACTCACTCAGTTAGATCAGATTTGTAATATATTGACCTCATCTATAGCATCATGCTTAAATATATTGTTGGGAACATCTATATCTAAATTCAACATTTTCTGTGCAGATATCAGTAGACCATACAGATCAAAGAGCTGAAGCGATTTCGTGTTCGACAGCTACACCAAATTGGACTGTTCATATTTCCGATGCAAAATCTGTTCTTTCTCTACTTGATTTAACAAAATGCAAAGATAGCAAAATTGGAAAACCAATGTTGATAGGTTTTTCTACTGGGGAGAGGAAAAGGGTTACTATTGGACAAGAGATGCTTATTAATCCAACTTTGTTTTTTAGATGAACCTACTTCAGGGTTAGACTCAACAACAGCTCAGAAGATTGTGTCAAATTTATGGGAGCTTGCGTTTGGTGGAAGAACTGTTGTGATGACAATACATCAACCTTCAAGTAGGGTATTGTATATGTTTCATACTGCTAGAGAAATATTCTACCCTAACCTTTTTTAAGGTTGTCTAACGTGTCCTATTATATGTATGCTTTTTCAGCAACCGGGATTATTTGGTATTTAAATGCTTTTGTTTCTTTGGTACTTCTTAGTCTTACCTTTGTTTAATATTAAAAAAAAAAAAAGGGAAAACCCTCGTTGATATCAAGAGTATTGTTGACCAAAGTTAAAATGAAAACTTGCATGCTTAAATATTATGTTAACAAAATCATCTATTTAAAACGAAATTAAAGTTAATGAAAAATTTAGGCATTGAAGGGTCTTTAAGTCAATAACTATCTCATCATTAAGAAATATATTTTTATTTTTTTACTTAAATCTAATTGGTTGTGTTCTATGTCACGTCATGAAAGTTTTCTTAATCATTAATAAAAACTTAAATTATATGTGATCACTTATGTCTTTAAAAATGATGAACATACGATTAAAAACTACTAAAAGTGATATATCGACTTAAATTCTATTACTTTATGTTCTCTTTGAGTTTTACATTAAGACTGAAACATCATCATAATCAATTTATATTTTTTTAATCTGTTAATTTTGGCTGAAAGTTATAATTAAAACCTTATTTATTTTAGAAATAAATAGGCTTTATTGCATCAATACAATTAAAGAGATTCCTATTGATACGTTAACAATGCATTGCAACTGTTACGATAATGCAGTACCATCATAAATGGATTCATGAAGTCCTTTATTAAATTAATCATCATTTCCCTGTAACCATTATGTAGAATACATGTAAGTTACTGTAATTTTATTTAAATACTTTTATCATTAACTAAGTTTTGGTAAATATGAATCCGTAATTTTCAGCACTAAAGTTACTGTAATTTACTGTTTGATAATTTGTAGTTAAGTTACCGCAATGATAAAACAGTGTTGGTGAAAGTTGATGTTGAGAAGCCTAAGAAGAAAAGATCATCATGAATTCAACACTATCACCGTCATCATCACTATTATCATATTCATCACACTATTACTGCACAAGAATATATGATGGTTCAGGTAGTAGTAATAGTAGTAAAGGATATGATAGAAAATCAGGATTGCTTATGTACTCGCGTCTCCTTCGGAATTCTGTCGTTGGAGACATAGGCACAATTTGGAAAACTTTGTGACCAAATATCATGTTAAACAATAAACAAAATCAGTTAAAACATCTTCAAGGTAAAAAAAAAACTTACCTTCAAGTAGATATTGATGGCTCTGTATGGACCATCATGATTTGGTCTAGCAAACTCTAGAATTGATTGTGATAAATCAACAAAATTCAAGAGGTCGAAATTTGGATCATGTGCAATTTCTCCAAGATAACCATCAACCAACTTGCCAACATTCAGTATCGACCTATTGTTTCAATCAGCGATTTGTTCCTCCGGGCATGAGCATCGAAAACCAATGCATCAACAGAATCAGGTAACCATCTATCTGCATACGTTTTCAGTGCCTCGCCGATCACAACACTAAGAGTCACCTTTCCATCCATTTTAACACTAACTCGGTAGCAAATTTGCAAAATAAGGGGTAAAATCTAATTCTGTCAACAAATCAAAACAATTGAAATCAAACTACCAAAAATATGTAAACTACACCACAGATTGGTTCAGTTCCGGCCGCCGCGAGAACCCAAAAGCCTAACCAAGTTCATTGTCCACTGAACGATGAGCGTAAATAGTATTATAATCTAACTACCGTCATGAATTTTGGCTTGATGCCTTTCTCATTGCATTTGATACTATATATAATAGTGTCGGTAATTACAACTCATAATGACTAATTACAACTCATAATAACTAATTACAACTTATAATGGCAATTTCCTATTCTATGAATGTAAATTATTCACAATAAATGTGTTTGATTATTTCCTGATTAACATCCCCCCTCAAATTGATGCGGCTGGTCAAGGAGCATCAATTTGCTAACAAGAAACTGATGTCGTGGGCGTGGAACAGCCTTGGTAAGAATATCTGCAACCTGCAACTGAGTACTGATGTGAGGAAGTGATATTATTCGATTATCGTAGGCGTCACGTATTGAATGACAATCAACTTCGATATGTTTGGTGCGCTCATGAAAAACAGGATTTGCAACAATTTGAATGGCACTTGTATTGTCAGCATAAAGTGAAGTTGACTCTGTTTGGGGAAATCCAAGTTCAGCCAAAAGACCACGAAGCCAAAGTATTTCTGAACAAGCAGCAGACATGGCACGATACTCTGATTCAGTAGAAGATTTAGAAACTCTTGCTTGCTTCTTACTTTTCCAAGAGATCAATGAAGAACCAAGAAACATGCACCAGCCAGTAACAGATCGACGAGTATCAGGACACCCTGCCCAATCAGCATCACTATAAGCACTCAACTGAAGAGAAATTCCAACGGAAAAGAATAATCCGCGGTGAGAGGTTCCCTTTAAGTAGCGAATTATACGACGAACCGCAGCCAAGTGAAGATGACGAGGAGAATGCATGAATTGACTTACTTGTTGAACAGCAAAAGACATGTCAGGGCGAGTAATAGTCAAGTAGTTGAGGCTGCCCACAAGTTGTCGATACAATAAGGGATCAGGCAAAAGATCACCATCATCACGATGATATTTAACATTAACCTCAAGAGGAGTATCTACCGGGTTAGCCGATTCTAGACCGGCCATAGAAATCAAATCTGTAGCATACTTGTGTTGATGGAGAAAGATGTCCTTGGATGTAAAATGAACCTCAAGACCAAGAAAATAATGTAGATTACCCAAATCTTTCATGTGAAATGAGGCTTGTAACTGTTGCTTAAGTCGTTGAATGGAAGCATGATCCGAACCAGTAATAACCATATCATCAACATACAAAAGAAGCAGAACAATACCCGTAGATGTGCTATGAATAAATAAAGATGAATCATACTGACTCTGAATAAAGGAAAATCCAAGTAGAGTGGAGCGGAATTTCTCGTACCATGCTCTAGGTGCCTGTTTCAAACCATATAAGGAGCGTTTGAGCTTACACACGCCTTTAGATGACGAGAATAAGCCTTGAGGTGGAGTCATATAAATATCTTCTCTCAGGTCACCATGAAGAAAAGCATTCTTCACATCCATTTGATGAAGAGTCCAACCACTAGAAGCAGTTATACAGATGATCGTGTAGACAATTGTCATTTTGGCAACCGGTGCAAATGTCTCATCATAATCAATTCCATATTCCTGCTTGTTTCCTAACGCAACCAAACGAGCCTTGTAACGGTTGAGGGACCCATCAGAATTTAATTTCACAGAATACACCCATTTGCAACCTATAGGTTTTACATCGGGAGGGCAAGAGACAATATCCCATGTGAAATTCTCTTGAAGAGCTTGAAGCTCTTCATTCATTGCTTTTATCCTTCGCACATCCTTAACAGCCTGTGAGTAACAAGTAGGAATAGATATGCTAGAGAGTGTGGCAGTCAGAGAAGTATGTAAGGAATCATACCTGTCTGGTGAATATCTATTTGGTGCACGAGATATTCGACCAGAACGTTGTGGTTCAACCGGTACAGGATCAGGTGGCGGTTCAGCGTCGGGAAGGGGTGTGGAAACCTGCTGTCTGTGTTTTCTGACATATACATGACCTGGTTTATAACGTTCTATAGATTGAGGCATAATAGAAAACTTAGGAAGAGTAACAATATCATTAATGGCAGGAGAAACACAGGGAAACATAAACTGATTATCAAAAAATGTCACATTTCTAGAAATGCAAAAACGATGGTTAGTGACATCATAACACACAAATCCCTTATGAGAGTGACTATATCCCATAAATGCACATTGAACTGATTGTGCTCCAAGCTTATGCCTTTCAAAAAGAGGTAAGTGAACAAAACACACACACCCAAAAGTATGTAAAGCACTATAATCAGGATGAATTTTAAAAAGACGAAAGAAAGGAGAATCAAGTTCAATAACCGTAGAAGGAAGACGATTGATCAAGAAGACAGCTGTGGAAAGAGCTTCTACCCAAAATCGGGATGGTACTGAAGCTTGGAGAAGCAATGTGCGTGTTACATCAAGCAAATGACGATTCTTCCGTTCTGCAATACCATTTTGTTGAGGGGTATTGGGACAAGATCGTTGCGACAAGATGCCTTTTTGTTGAAAGTATTCCTGAAACTTATGAGACATGTACTCACCACCAGAGTCAGAGCGAAAATTTTTAACACTTGCTTGAAATTGAGTTTCAACATATGTTAAAAATTTCTTAAACACGGAAAACACTTCATATTTAGACCGAAGGAAATATATCCAAACAAAACGACTATAATCATCAATAAATGTGACAAAATATTTATAGTGAGAATGAGAAACTACAGGAGATATACCCCATACATCACTATGAATCATTTCAAAACAAGTGGAAGCACGATAAGCACCAGATGGAAAAGGAAGTGTTTTACTCTTAGCTAATTTGCAAACAGAACATGAAATAGAGACATTAGAAACATTTTTATTTCCCAACAAACCATTTTTAAATAAATGGGACAAAACAACAGAGTTTGGATGACCTAATTTTCTATGTCAATCCTCATAAGAGTTCAAAACATTATTACAAGCAAGAGATATATGATTAGAAATAAACTGGAGTGGAAACAGTCTTCCCACTTTAGGCCCCTTCGCGATCACTCTCCCCGACACCTGTTCCTGCACAAGACAACCATCACGAGAAAAGTTAACATCATAATTTTTATCTACCAATTGACCAACAGATAATAAATTAGACGCAAGTCCAGGTGATACAAGCACGTCCCGAAAATCAGAGTTGATGTCGCCAATATCCGTAATAGATAAAGTATTAC